ACAAGCCAGCGTTGGCGAACTGTTAGAGGGTGAAAGATGTAGAGGAGAAAAACCAAAACAAGTGGGGAAACATTCCAACACGGCAACATGTTTTTGTAAGTCATGCAGATTGAGAGAGACGCTCGGGGAGTTTCATCAGATCTCTCGAAAGCATTTTCTCAGAAACCCAGATTCCATTTTGTGGACACTATAATGCAAATATGTTCATTTTAGACAACTTGCAAAATAAATATAGGAGGAAAAATGCTGCTGGGGTTTGTTTCTAACCAACATCAAAGTCAAGTAAATTCAAAAAGCGTCCACGCACATATAATCTACATATCTGTTTTAAGCAAAGCAAAATGCAGAGAGAGTTTTTTTCTGTGTGCAGTATGTCTCACAACCTGTGCTCATAAAATAGAAAAACAGGTAAATACAGCAGCAGCTTCCTTTGGTCACTGGCTTTGTTCAAAGATGACTTTCATATTTAAGTCAAGGCAAATTTATTTATCTGGCACATTTTCATGTACAGAGGTTATTCAGTGTGACTCTGAGAGATCAAAGAAGCCTGGAAGTACAGATCAGAAGCATAAAGAACATTTTAAAAAGTATAGAAACTTTATAAATGCACACATTATTAAACAGGTAACATCTAATTAAAGTGCAGGTTTATAGGAAACTGGAAAATGATGAGCTTCTTGTTTGGGGGCAGATTTTATGTCCATGAGCACGACGGCAAGAAGTGTTTTAAAAGGAAAGAAACTCCAGTAGGATTATTCCAAATGAGCTGAATTCCTTCTTCTTCTGCTGAAACACAACTTCAGCTGCAGCTCTCCAGCCGCCTTGGTGCATGGGGAACTGTTAGCAGCCAGAAAAATAAAAAAGAACGTGACAACTGTCCTGCAATGAGTTTGCACAATGCAAGTTCTTGCCCCAAGGTCAATATCACCTCCTTAGAGGAGGCCTGTCTGCGTGCTCCTGACCTGGAGCTGTTGTACGCTGCATGAAAAGGAGGGCGATCGCTGATGCACAAAGAGGAGCCTTTGAGGAGATTTGCAGCGCTCCCTTATCTCTCTATGTGAAAGAAGAATAAAGCCCGGGCCCTTCGCTGCCACTCCCTGTCACCGAGGGATCAGGCTGCTGTGAGATTTGTGCCAGATGCTGCTTCTGAAACAGCAGCCACATCAGTCGGATGAGAAGCTCTCATCTCCACTGTAGGGCAGCGTGCTTTCACTGTGTGTGTGTGTGTGTGTGTGTGTGTGTGTGTGTGGGTGTGGGTGTGGGTGTGTGTGGGTCTTTGATGTTGGGCAGTACACAGTGTCCCCCAGGTGTTCAAGAGCACACCAGGGTTGTGTACTGAGAAATCCTCCTCCCTGTCATCCACACTTACATGCTAGCTTTTTACACCCTCCGCCCTCAGAGGGACCCTCGATGTCCACGCACGACGTTTATTCACGGAGTCTCCAGGAGTCTGTTCCTGCGTTTCCTCATAAGCAGCTTGAAAAAAGCTGATTTCTCCCCAAAATGTAGCCTGTGGAATAAATTGAATGACACATGCATAATTTAATGCGTCTGCTTTTGCAAAAAAAAAAAAAAACTTTATTCCTCATGTTGCAATATTTAAACCCCAGACACCAGGTTTCCTGCTGCTCTGCCCACCACACCACCAGCACCCGCCTGAAAGTTTCAGACATTTTCCTTTTTTTTTGTGAACGTGTTTGACTCAGACAATCTCCTGCTGCGTTCTTCACAAGTGAAAGGACAACTGGGTCCGGATTTCCCGGAGTTCATGTCTGAAGACGTCTCAGGAGTCCTGAAAAACTCAAGTATATGCGGAAAAATAAATGAATGCATCTGCTTCTGCAAAATGTCTTAGTTCCTCATGCCGACATATTCAAACACCAGGTTCATTATGGTGACACAGTTACCACATCGCTCCATTATTTCACCATATCTCCTAAAAAAAAATCAGCTGAATCCACTGGACATTTATAACTGGACGACTTCTCAGAAACATTCAGCCTCATTTCATGGTCCGTCGGGCATGTGAGGATTAGGGCTGAGCAAAAGAGGCTGATTTGTCGTGTCAGAGGTGATTTGCACTCTTATCAGTGGCAGAGCTGTAGATCTACCAGAGGCCCTAAGCCGACTGCCCTAATCGAATGGGGAAGCCCTTAATGGTGACCACTTGAGTTAGCGTCTGAGGGTATTGTCTTGTGTGTTAGGCACATAATGAGCTACTGTATGCAGAGGCCGTCCGGGAGGAAGCCCCCTCACTACGTCTGTTGTTTGTCTCATTTGTATTGTGTGAGTTCGCCTCGAATGAAAGGACAGAAAAAACTTATTTGTTGTCATGTTTTGTTCTTTTAATTCTGCCTGTATCTCCTCTAACATCCTCAGAGTCTCCTGTGAAGGTAATTAGAATAAAACCACCAAATACATTTCACAAGAATCAGTCCAAACCCTAAACCAAACTTTAGTCCAACAGCCAAACAGAGACAATTATAAAGGGTCAAAATATAAACAAAACAAATGGTAGATGTCTCATCTTTGTTTAGGGTTGTTACCATGGCAACGACAAACTGTAAATGCATCGGTTCATATTGGGGAAATAGATTATTTTGACATGAATATGATGAAAAGTTAAGGTTTATGATCAACTTTTATCATTTTGAAAAGTTTGGCATCAAATTGACAAAACTGTTTTTATTTTTTGAAGGAAGGCATGAAAAGTATTTTGGTTTTGGCATCAAGAGAAAGTCATAATATATTCAGTCCTCGGCAAGATGGCAACAGTGAATTAAATGTATTTCTGAGCCACAAAGGAGAAAGATGTGGGGAAAGAAAAGAGCAAATTCAGATCTTATGATGGCAGTAACCTTCAGTATGGTGGAGTGTTACTTTAGTTATTAATGAACCGTAGTATTCCTCTTGTGGAGACGTTTATTCACCATTTGAAATCTAATCGTTATTGTTTTCGTGTCTCTGCTCGACCACTCAGTCATTCTGGGTCTTGTCCTGCAGCCCTGATCCTGTCAGCACATTCAAATACTCCTGAATGAATTAGCTCTGTATCATCCAGACACAGACAGCACACAGCCACAAATGTATGCACACAGCCGCACACCCACAGACAGCAGTTCTGGTTGTCAGGGTCCATAGATCATGGGTCATGTGTGTTTGTGCTTTAGTCCGTGCAGCATAAAGTCACAACAGGAACAGATAAGACCAGTCCCAGGTTGGCTTTGGAAGCCAAATCCCCAGCAGCCCCCCGGTGCTAATCGGATTAGCTGAAAAGTTAGCAGCACGGCCCCAAAGAGACACAACATTTTTTACACTGACTTCTGGAACATATTTTGTTCTGCGGCCGCCATAATCTGCCTGTTGTCCCACATCATCTTTGCCACAGTAAACAACAGTCGTGGTACATGATGAACTGATTTTAACCTCTGCAGGAGCATATTTTGGTTGACTGGTGGGTGTGTGTGTGTGTGTG